TGTATGTATATCTGGAGTGTGGAACGAAAGTAATTTCCCCCTGGGATTATTAAAGTATTTCCGATTCTGATTCTGATTATGATATGTCAGATATGTTATATAATGATATTTTCCTAAACCAAACCATGACTGTTTCAAAATGTAAAGCATGCAAGCTTTATTTTGAAAGTCTAGCAGGATCCAGAAATTACACTAAATGAGCACCTCCAGCATCATATTTGTGTCACTGACAAAGCATTAGTATTTCATGAACAGGGAGTGAGGCCAGGTTGTTCTGCCAGACGTGTGAGATGGATGAAACACGGCTGAAACACCTTCTCTCTTTCAGGGTGCTCAGAATTGTTAGCAGCACTCCGGAAGGGATGTTTAGCAGGAGAGGAGCTATCAGAGTGCTTTAGCATCTCCAATCCAATAATAAACTCCTGAAAGGAGATACACAGTGGAGTCAGTGGTCATTTTTCTTCACTAAACAGGTAGACTGATTTGGTCTCTGCTTTCTTCTCTCGGACATTTAGAGCTTTATAAGAAAACTTCCACTATTTCCCAATATATCCTGGGATTCTAAACAACACACTTCCTGTCACAGGTTTCCTCTCTACCCTCACTGTATACCATCATGACTCCTCAGGTCATATCATCCTGGGCTTGTTGTGTCTCTCTGGGTTATTTTCCTCTCTGTCTTTTTGTCCATTGTCCTCACTGTTCTGCACCTCTCACTGCAGCAGAAAGGCCTCTCTGTGATTTGGTGGTCATATGAGAGGAGACATTGTTCATTTTCGGGGAGGCCGGTACAATAGCCGGTCTTTAAGAAGTCCGGGGCTCTGTGACTGACAGGGAGCATGGCGCCCCATTGAACCCGCTTAAGGGGCAGTGTAATGGGTGGGAGACGTGCCAGGCTGCAGCAAGGCACCAAGTTACAGTTCAACAGCACTTTATGCTTAACCTCAGTCGACCTGTGACATGTGGTGCTGCTGAGAATGATGCTCCAATGAATTGTCTTTAGAGTTCTGGGGCCTGGGTTCTTTCTTACAGGCACTTCAGCAGGGTAATGCAAAAAGGCTTGAACAGGTGGATTTTCAGTTAAAGGACCAGTGTGTAGGGTTTAGTGGCATCTAGTGGTGTAGTTGCAAATTGCTTCACCGTCCCCTTCCAAGTGGCCACAAAATGTATGAAAACCACAGACACCCCTATAGAGCCAGTTTTTGGTGTGTCCATTTGTCTGTTCTGGGCTACTGTAGAAACATACCTAGAAATATTATATCACATGATAAACAGGGGCCCCTAAAGACTTTATCCTATAAGCTTACATGATGAAAGAAGTGGCTGTTAAACGGTGGATACATTTTTTGAGTGTCACTATAACTGTGAAATGACAAATCCGAATTTGATCCATTTAGTCTGATAACCTTTGGAAAGTATAGAAGAGCACCACGATTAATTTATTTTATCCCCATTCATGTAAGTAAAGGGTTAAACCAGAAGTTAGCAGTTCGGCTGCGCTTGGCTGGCAGATGTCTCAGGTGCTCTTTTTTGGCTTCATGTGCTACTTAGCAGCTTCCATAGGAAATAATGGAACTCTGCTTCCAATGCTGTGTCCACATGACTCACCACCAGGTCAGAGTGCTTACTGTGGATACTGATGATTACCAGAGGATGAATGCTAACCTATTTGCAGTCAGCCTGACCTTTCAGGACAACGTTTCCTTTGATACTTTGAGGAAAATGTATGTATCAGTAGAGCTTCTGTCCTGTATACAGTATTTTCCTACTTTCATTATGCTGACTGCTCACTGGAATACATTACTCTTTACATGCTTTCTCAATTTTTTTCTGTGTATGGACAGGTCAGTCTGGGCACCGTGTCACAGGGAGCCCTATGGGTAATGTAGTTCAGAGGGTGAATGTATCTCTAGGGGAGCGTGGAGACAGACTGACTCGTGCAGAGGACAAGACTGTGGAGCTGTTGCACAAAGCCCAGCAGTTTGCAGACACTGCTCACAAGGTGACATACAGCTGTTATTATAACATACGCCTTTTCTACAAGATAAATAATTGATAATATCAGTCCTTCCAGGAAGTTCTGTTGTTGCGATCATAACAATTAACACAAATTCAACCAATCCCTGTGAATTCTGTTCAGCCTTGCAATTTTGTCCAATCACCGCAACTTTCTGCAAATTTTATCCTTGTAGGTTCTAGTCTAACCAATCATATCAGTCACCTGCGCAAAATGTAGAGCCATATGCCACTAAACTATGTGCAGTTGCCACGATTTTTTATGAATTATATACAAAAAAACACAACTATTTTAGCAATTTTCACTCAACTTACATTACAATAAAAAACGCTGTAGTGACATTTTATCCTGGAAGGACTAAAATATATGTAATAAAGATATAAACAAGATAATACAGTGCACATTTAAATATGCATTTGTTTTTTTTCTTCACAATAACCATATTTGACATTCTTTTATTTCCTATGCAGCTGGCCCTGAAGTATTCAAAGTAGAATCTGTTGGAAGATGAATGGATGAATAGTGTAACCTGGACACTAATCAAAGCTAACTCATGAAAGCCTGTTTGTGGGAAGAAGACTAAAAAGGAGTGACTCTCAGGCATTGCCGAGTGGCTTCTTTTATAACTGAAATGGCTAAATATTCCACTACTTGATTTAGATCTGTGCTTTTCTTGTCAAAAACACCTCTCTGTTAAGGTCTAAGGATGATCTGCACTGTGTTCAGTTTGACGGTTTTGCCTGTTGTCACATAAATCTCCTGTACTTTATGAGAGAAAGAAAGCTGGGTTTGTAGATTTAAAGGTGGTGTCAGTCACTCTGGAGAAAGAGAGTTGATTGCTAAGTCTTATTGCCAGGTGGTCAGATACCACTGCACGACCTGGGAATAACACTCAACAATCAACTTTCTTTCTCCAAAATGACTTGGAGAAAGACATTTTTTTAAGCTGCAGGTGTTTAACACTATATTTTGTATAAATCGTTACAATTATTTTGAAGCCACTGACAACCTTCCTGTAACAGTCAATGAATTGTTTTTACCCAGCACTCATTACATTGTCGGATGGTATTTTTTTTTGGTTTGAATTTAATCACACTAAATCTTTGATCTGACATTACTCTGCAGTTTGTTAACACTATGTGTTGTCACCATTATGTGTTCCTGATGTGTGTGTCATGTCATCATATCTGTGTTATCTTGTATCAGTGTGTCCTGGACCTTCATCTAAATGTCACTTTATATGTTGTGTTCTGTACCATGTCTCCTGCTCTGTGTATATCATTGTGGTTTTTAAGTCTGTGTTAGAGGTTTTGTCTTTAAGAGGTGAGTGAAGGTGGATCAGGTGGACTGGGTAAGTTGGAGTATTTTTTCTTTGAGGAGTTCCACAGTGAGCAACCCAAGTGAAGCTGGTCTGTGTAGAAATGTCAGGACGGCTTCAGAAAGTGGAAATGTTGACTTTAGTTGAAACCCTTCATGTTTGCGTCATCTTTCAGTAATTTTATGTAAACTTTTTTATTGCTTTTGCGTACAGGATAATATATGTAACCCAATTACTTGCTCCCATCTCATCAAGTCTTTGAACCAATTAAATAAGCCTGGACCTGAATGCGGAGCTGTGCCTTATTTTTACACTCATCCAGGATGTCAGCAGTTCAGCTTTTGACCACTAGATGGCAGTCGCAGAGCAAAAAAAGGAGACTCACTTCAGCACCATTACAGTCCACACAAACACAACTGATAAAAAAAAATAATAAAATAAAATGAAATAAAATAAAAAATAAATATCAGGTTGGCAGGTGACACAAGACAAACACTGAAGTCAGGCTGAATAGGAATCTATTTATTCAGAATTAAAGGTAAGGTCATACCAGAGGACACTGAGCAACATTAAAGCTGCAGTAGGTGATATTTATTAAAATAACTTTGATAAATTGTGAAAAAATACATGAGACACAATCTGTGAAGATATCTGGCTCCTCTGGCTCCTCCTAGTGATTGTAATGGTATTTGCAAGAATCCACCAGGCCTGAATGAAAACAACCAATCAGAACTAAAAAAGATATAAATAAGCTTTTGTGTTAGAGGCTTGAAGATAGTTGATTGTTGAGTCTCATTCCCAGCATCTGTATTTGACAACATGGGAATTAATTGAATTGAGTAGTAGTGGTGGACAAATAAAAATGGCACCAATGCGCAGATGCATTTATGGTGAAACAACTTAGTCAGAGTTAGGATTAACACCCTTGAGGGCACTTTATCATGTTTTATCTGCCATAGGGGCATCCAAGAGGGCACTTTTGTAGTGTTCTTTCCAACACTGGCGGGGGAGTGGTAACGCTGTAAATTGTATTCTGGTAACCCTGGTAACAGCAGAGTTTCAAGAAATCAATCAAGTAATTTAATTCAAGTAAAACATCTTTTTGACCAAGGACCAAGCTCCTCTCCTGTGGAACCAGCTTCCGGTTTATGTTCGGGAGGCAGACACCGTCTCCACATTTAAGAGTAGGCTGTTAGCTTTATAAGACGTTCGCTCTGGTGTGGATAAAGCTTATGATTTTAGGGGCTGGCCAGGTGAGTCGCTGGAACCATCCCTTAAGTATGCTGCCTATAGGCCTAGACGTTATATCGGATTTCCCATGGTGCACTGAGCTCCTTCTCTTTCCTCTCTTTCTCTTTCTCACTCGATTCAGTGTCCCATTCAAGTCACATGCTTACTAGAACTTCGTTCTTTCCCCGCGCCGCCCCCGTCGTTCTTTGCTTTTCTCCCTCTCTCGTCGCGGCGGGGCGGCTTTCTCGGATGGATTTCCTGGTGCGCCCCCTGCCATGGTCCTCTTGGCTGCCATTGTTAATTTATTCCACTTTTTTTTGGAAAAATAAATTATTGTTATATATTATTATTATTAATATTATTATTACTACAGTTACTATTTTAATATTCGTCACTGTCATTCGTCCCCCATCATTGCTGTTGTTGTCGTCATCCTTCATTTCTCATGTTTCATCATCATCAGTCATCTTACTCATTTAGGTGTAGTGTACTACTGTTGTTGCTGTGCAACCTGTCTCTCTCTCTGTCTCTCTCTCTCTCTCTCACCCCCAACTATTTGAGGGCAGATGGACCACCCACCTAGAGCCGAAGGGGTCTGTCCTAGGTTTCTGCCTGTTAAAAGGCAGTTTTTCCTTGCCCCCGTCGCCAAGTGCTTGCTCATGGTGGTACTGTTGGGTGTCCTGAGATAACTTCTGTTATGAATTGGCGCTATAGAATAAAATTGAATTGAATTGAATTGAACTGCTTTCTTTAGATAACACTCTATTAAGCATGTGGAATTGTTTGCAGTGTCATCACCAACAGTGATTAAACCCAGGCATGGAAAGTTTTCACATGAGAAAACCCTTCAGCTACATAGTGGTTCACATTTGCTTTTGTTTTCTTTAATAAATCTAATAAATCTAAACTGAATAGTTAGTATGACTACCATGTCTGGGGCTATGACAGAAATTCATGAAGTAAAACACTGACCACAAGGTTTGACTGACAGGTAAAGTGGGGGGTGCAGTATTGAAGTATCAGTACATAAAACCTCTTTGTTGCACTGCTTAAAGTTAGACCTCGATGTTCATCACTCATCATGGCTCATGCTTACATGAATGATCAGGGGGCTCATTACAAAAACGTCATAAGTCACAAATACATCTTTACTAAAATCCTAATTTACCGAACTGTTCTAACTGAAAAGTGTCCTAAGTTTGGAACTCTTAATTCACAGGATCCCAAACAGTTTCAAGGACCCCCACAGTAGATGGACATCAGTAATTGTTTATTTTTAGATTTCAAGATTACAAAGTAAAGTCAATCAATAATCAAACCATGGACTTTTCTTTTGTTAGTCCAACTTCCAAAAACTGTCAGGCCCTCTACAACCCACAGAAAATAACTGCCAAAAATGGCAGCACTACCTTGTCCGTTAGGTCTGTACGTAACATGTTTTGGTTGTGACAGTAGTTCAGTGTGTTCCTAGTGTCTCCCTTACTCAACGCTAACATTGAAGTTAAAATTGAACGCCTGTTTTCTCTTGTCCATTATAGCTAGTTAGTCAGTGACAAGTGAAAGGAGACAGCCATTGTCAAGGCTACACACAGTCTTGCTTACATTCTAAACACAGATGCAGGCATGACATGACGAGTGCAGATTGAGGAATCAAGTTTACAGTTAAGATACAAGTTTAAGTTAAGATACAAGTTCTGGGATAGGATACAACACAGTTATGAGTTTAATAATTGCTTCTGTAATAGGAATAGTATTTTTCATATCTTTGAACCTGAACATCCAGAAGAAATGAAAAGTGCCCTTTTAACCCTTTGTGATTGAAGATGAATATTACATCCCCAGTCATTTTGGACCCCTATTTAACAATGTATGTCAACACAATTTACAAAAATCTATTTCTTTCTACTTTTTTATCTAAATCAAATAATTTTTTCCCCTGTAAAATAAAATGTGCTTATGTAAGTGTGAACCAACTAATTTCAACTACTAATATCATGACATCCACCCCTCAATGAATCTTCGACTTTTAGTGACACAGAGCTAAGAACTTATAGCTAGCAACAGCATGGGTCTCTGCCAGAGCAGAGTGTTTCTGGGGACTGGACCTCACTGATTACTGTACAATAACACAACTTTATTTTTTTGGTAGCAGGTATAAATAAAAACCGGCCCATTAGATTTGAATATATCTGTGATGTTTTTTTTAGATTGTGGGACTAGAGGAAAGGTCCGTGGGGTCACAAAAGAGTTTTCCTCTCGGGACCACAACTCAACATTTTCATCTGGTCTGCAGCTGTCTGGGTTACCAGCACTAGTAGATAAGGTTCACAGGGGCACAGTAACACACATGCACGCACACACACCAAAGACATCGCTTTAAAGCAGAGAACATTTATTTGCATTGTAGTAACGTGTTAATTCTTGCATGACAATAACATCTGTCAGTGAACATCTGGATGGCCATGCATTCTGCATTGTTGTCTAACAAGGAGAGGAAGGAAACTTTAAATTCTCTTTTTAGAACAAACAAGACAAGAAACTTACAAGTTTGTTAAAAAATTGGTTGGACAGAGAGCAGGTTTATGACTGAGGTCCATTGTGCAAGGAGAGAGAAAAAGCAGTTCATTGTAAAAAGGACACACGTGGGGGTCTGTGCTGTGACTGTGGAAGAGGATTAAGGACACATGTACATTACTATTGGGAGCTGATGAAAGTGGGACAGGCAGGAAAGTGTGTGTTTATGTACTGTGGTTCAGGACAGAATGAGTTCTAGTAGCATGTGCCATCTCCAGAATTAGTTTTTTCTTAGCTTGAAGCCACAGTTCGTGCTGTTAACAGTACACATGCATTAGGTCTTTGTGGTTGCGGACTGGTAGCACCACTTGTTTTAGTCCTCCAGAGCAAAAAAGACAAGAAACGGAAAACATGATCCAAACGGCAGAAATGATGTACATGTGTAATTCTGCACAATTTGCTCAGTCTTTTATGTCCAGTCAAGTCAAGTCAAATGAAGTCAAGTCAAGTCAGTGTTATTTGTAGAGGCCAATATCACAGATCACAATTTGCCTCAAGGGGCTTTACAATCTGTACAGCATAGAAAGAGAATTATCAGCTGAATTTGCAGCTCCCCTCATAGAATGTTTGTTCAGCCACAGCTTTACTGTATTGGTTCACTCTAACTGCTCTCATAGCATCATTTTCGGCCGCAGCTGGCAGCTGTTTTCAGAGAAAAAGGCTTAAAAAAAACTCACTGTGAAAAAGGGCAGAACACAGTTAGAGACTAGCTAGTTTTCCTCAGGAGATAGTGGAGGTGATCATACGTCAATTTTGTGTTCACAACTAGTTTCCACTGGCCCCAAGTGGCAAAAAAAACAGTTACTGATTCATTCATTTCAAAATAAATAATACAAGGGAGTTGATTTAAATGAAACAAATCTCAAAATTATTATTTTTATTACTTATTCTATGTCAACAATGGATCAAATGACTGTGGCTCCATTGCATTTCACAGAGAGAATTATCACCAACTCTGCAGTTGCAATAGTCAGGATTTTATATATACTGAGGTCCAAATTCCTCTACCACAAAGCCCAATACAGGTTGGACTCACCACCAAAAATATCCAATAATCAGAGTGAACTGTCATTTCTTTGGCCACAGTTGTGTTTTTGGGTTGTTCGTCCAACAATGAATTGGTGAAACTTTGGATCAAAGGTCAAAGGCCAATGTGACCTCAGAATGACCTTGACAAACAGGTCAAGAACTGACTGCTGTAATTATGATAACATCTCACAGACGTTTAATAAGATACAAAGATGAAGTGATTTTTTACCCAAAAGGTCAAAGGTCAACTTCACTGTGACATCATAATTTCCTGGAAAAACACTTTTTTTGTCCTTTATTCAACACCACAACACAGGAACAGAAGGGAAGATTGTGACCAGATTTCACAGTTGGCCAGGCACTGAATTGGTGACACTTTTGACTTAAAGGTCAAAGGTCACTGGGACCTCAAAGGACAAGGGTGGAAACTGCGATTTGAAACTCCAAGTCAGATA